TAATTTGAATCCCACCACTGTTTTGGGTATTTGTATTATATTTGTATTTCTGTTAAAAATTGTACAACCTTGATCTTCTTAGGCTATATAATTTCTACTGAGACATTAAGTTTGTATTTCAGCCTCTTGAATAATGTATTTTTAGTTCTTTATCAAATAGTACTCCTGGTTCTTAATCTTTTTAGGAGGAAACGATCTAGAAATAAATAAATGGGGGGTCCTTCATTATCCAAACTAGGTAATATCATCAGGACTAGCACTAATGATGTTACCTAGTTTGGGTAATGAAACGTTCACAAGAAAACAACCAAGCTCATAGAGCACCAAGGACCCCTCATTTCAACTCTGAGCTACAAATATTGTCATTTATTTATAAATAAATATATGTTTAATTTTACATCATTTTTGATTTGCTTATGGAATTTCCCAGGTGGGAAGGAGCAATCCTTTGGAAAGTTTAATCTATTTTTTTTTAAGTATACAATCATCCACTAGATAATCAGACATCATAAATTAACCTCAGGTCTGAAGGAAATTCATTCAGATTTCTTAATTGATTTGGATGCCCTTTGTTAAAAAAAGAAAGAGAGAAGTCATAAGAAACAAACAGCTCAGGAACTAAAACTATAAAACACAATAAACTTTCTGTAACAGTTAAAGGTCTACTTCTTAGCAAATGTGAAAGGAAGTTTTAAAAGAACAATGTTGAAATTATATATATATATATATATTTGGAGATGTCATCTATTAAAAGAAGAAGAAATTCAGTTGTGTAATTTGAATAACAATTTAAGCCTTCCTCATTTCATTTAGCAACGTTCCTGTTTCTCACAGTAGGCCCTCAGATGCACCCGAGGGCCTTGCAGCACAGACAAAAAGGCACGTGTACCTCTCCCTCTTTTCTATTTTTTTGTCCAACCCATTGCTACATCCACATTTGGAACTGATCAGAAACAAAGAATTAATACTGCAATTCTTTCAAAGAAAAGTTCAAGAAACCTGACCAAAGATCATGGCTTCAGGATGCAATGCCAAATCCAGTTTCACTAAATGGCATGTTCAAACCCTCACCTTTGATACAATTTTGTTTCATAAGTATTTCATAATTTAATGCAGGATCTGATTCCATGTGCTGGGGAACTCTACCTGATCCACCAAGTAGAAACAGATGGGATCATTGTGCAGGATTTGGCTTTTTCTACAGAAGTGAAATAATAACACCGTTATGCAAGACAACAAACATTTAGTTGCGACAGTCATGACAACAATTTCTTTTCCACGATTCAGCTACATATCAATAGCACTTAGACTCATATACCACTTTACAGTGCTTCACAGCCCTCTCTAAGCAGTTTACAAGGTCAGCATATTGCCCCCATTTGGGTTCTCATTTTACCCACCTCAGAAGGATGGAAGCCTGTCAACCTTGAGCCTGGTGAGATTTGAACTGGCAAATTGCAGGTAGCCAGCAGGCAGCAGAAGTAGCCTGCAGTACTGGACTCCAACCACTGCGCCACCATGGCTCATAAGGACCAAAACAGCTTCTCCTAAGCCTGTTATTGTACAGTTATGCTGGACCACAGTTCTTATCATCTAGAGCTATTGAGGACACATGAATCATGGAGTCAGTCATCCAAAGTATCTTGAGAAGTCCATGGCTGGAGGCAGCTGAATAAGCTTACTGCAACTTCTATTGGTTTGCTAAATTCCAATGATTAACTTTCTCCACAGGAAGGAACTGAAAATTCACAAAAATCGGCTGCCAGATATTTGACAGAAAATAATTGTGCATATTATTTTATTTAAGGTAAGGATCTTCACCCACAGCCAGATAAATACATACCAAACAGATGGGTGGCACTGTCAGTTCTGACATTGCTGAAATAGACAATTCAGGAATAAATTTTAGGTTTATGGAGAAGAGGACATTCTTTTCTTCATGCCACATGTCATGTGATTCCCTTCTTCTTTCCATCCCTACCTCCCATTCATATGGTAGCTACTATCAGCCCCAGAGGCAAAGCTCCTCTTGGCATTATGGGACGTTTATACTTAAGAGTAAAGATAATGTGGCATACAGTTTTGGTTAGATTTATACTAGATAAGCAGCTTAAAGAATGGCTTTTTACAATGGCTCAATGAACCTGTAAATATAATGACCAATATACTGAAGAAAAACCAATCCATGCTGGGATATAATTAGCTGATGTAGGATATTTGTTTTTTCTTTGAGTCTACTATACAAAAGCAACTTTAAATCTCCATCCCAGACTGACCTAAATGTGTGGAAGTTCGTGACCAGGTGATTGCAACTTCTTGAAGGTTAACAGCAGACAAAAACTGATTACTGAAAATTTTGTAAGTTAAGGACTAGCAATAGCAACAGCACTTAGACTTAAACAGTGCTTCACTGCCCTCTCTAAGAGGTTTACAGAGTCAGCAATTTGGGTCCTCGTTGGACTCACCCTGAAAGGATGGAAGGATGAGTCAACCTTGAGCCTGGTGAGATTTGAACTGCCAAATTGCAGGCAGCTGGCAGTCAGCAGAAGTAGCCTGCAGTACTGTACTCTAACCACTGCGCCACCACAGCTCATACCTGTTTGCTTTCATACCATACATTCTCCTCTTGACTACACATAGGAGTTCCAAAAGAATAATCCGTCTAGGTCAGGCTTGTCAAACTGGTGGCCCGCAGGCGGGATGCATCATGTGCAGGCCACGCCTACCCCCAGCTCCATGAAGGAGGAAAACGCCTCAAAATGTCATGTGACAGCAACATGATGCCACGAATTTAACACCCATGATCTAGGTCAGTGATCCCCAACCTTTTTTATGCCGCGGCCCGGTACCGGCATCAGCTGGGCGCCGCGGCCCGGTACCGGCATCAGCTGGGCGCCGCCATCTTTTTTTGATGAAAAAGTGCTTCCGGTGACCTCACCGGAAGCACTTTTTCATCAAAAAAGATGGCGGCACCAGCGCTTCCGGTGAGCTTTTCCAGGTAGAAATGGCTTTCTACCCGGAAAAGCTCACCGGAAGCACTTTTTCATCAAAAAAAGATGGCGGCGCCCAGCAACCAGCGGCCCGGTAGGACTTGTTCCGCGGACTGGTACCGGGCCGCGGACCGGTGGTTGGGGACCCCTGATCTAGGTCTTTATAGCCTTGATCTTAAATATTCCCTCACATGATTGATAAAAAATATATTTATTAGATATTAATAAATAATAAGCCACTGTTCCTAAAGTGTAAGAGTATTTGAGGCACCCCACAATTATCTCTAATTGGGTCAACTTATATAGCTATGCAGGTGTTAAAATTGTGTGGGGATTTCCAACAGTGTATTATGTAAGTTAAAACGCATGATATGACTAATAATTGATATGACTCATTATTTTCTAATAATGTTGTGGGTGCCACAGATAAGTAGAGGTTCAGCCTGTGAGTAAAAGAGAAAGGCAGAGTCAGAGGAAAAAGCAACCGTCCTATTCATAACCTTCATCCTCTGCCAGCAAATGCCTGACAATTGGGAGGAGTAAAATAGCAAGGTGTCTCACCTCCAACTTCCTCCAGCATTCTAAAAGTAGCCAGAAAATATGGAAGACACAAATTGATTTTTAGAGCATAAATAAATCTGGACTTATTTGCTCATATATACCCACCTTTTCCTAAAAACACCATGTAACTTATCCTTCTTCAACCTGCTAGCTTCTATTGTCTTGGCTATAGATCCCATTATCCCCAACTAGCATGGTAACAGGAAATAACACACCCTGGAACGTAACCCATCTAGAAAGACAATCAGGGCAGGGAAAGCCAATGAGAGTCCCGTGGTTTTAAAGACAGCAGAGTTCTGGTTGCATGTTGGTCTCCCATCTTGTAGATCATCTGCTGGGGTTTTTTAGAGCCATATATCCTTCCACAGCTATATTGCCCAAGAAAGAAGAATACTAAGGTAATGAGCGATCATTAGACTACAGTATCTAGTATTTTTTTTTAATAAAAGATAATATTTGTAGCTCAGGGTTGAAATGAGAGGTCCTGGATACTCTCTGAGTTTTGGTTGTTATCTTGCAGACGTGTCATTACTCAAACTAGGTAACTTCATCAGTGCTTACTGATGATGACCTTACCTAGTCTGTATAATGAAACGTTTGCAGGAGAACAACCAAGCTCAGAGAGCACTAAGAGCCCTCTAGTACTGGATGCCTGCTGCAGAAACACTGGGCATTGAATAGAGGCTGTGGTTTTTAATCTGATATATTTGGTTTTGTGCAGAGGAAAATAACTGATCGTTCGGTGACCAAGTACATCTTCAAGAGAAAAGCACTCAGGATAGTAATAGACACGTAATGGGCTTCCCAATATGTGACCACCGCCACTTTAAAAGCAAACCAGTCAATCAGCCCTCGAATCAGTTGGAAGTGCAAGCCTGCTGTTCCTGCTCAAGCAGAGGTGAGTAAGCAAGCGTGAGTAGGAAAGCGGCTATTCCTGTAGTCGGCACGCTTCTGCGCTCGGCTTTTCCTTTCCTTCTTGGGCGGACAAACGGTTTGGCAACGGTCCTTTCCAGCGCCTTGCCTGCCCTCTCCGTGTTTGAGACGGTAAAGTGGGACGGAGAGGGTGTCCAAGCCTTACTGTTTAAGCGTCGGAGTAGAGGAGCCAAAGAAAGGCGCGCGCCCGGAGTAGCGTCTGCCTCCTCGCCCTAACGCTCTTCTGCGGACCCTCAAAAACGTGCGTAAGGGCGAACATATACATATACACATACACATACACATACACATACACATACACATACACATACACACATACATACATACATACATACATACATACATACATACATATATACATACATATATACATACATACATATATACATATATACATGTGTGTGTGTGTGTGTGTGTAGATAGATAGATAGACAGACAGACAGACAGACAGACAGACAGACAGACAGATAGATAGATAGATAGATAGATAGATAGATAGATAGATAGATAGATAGATTCTAAAATACTAGTTTTTTTCAGACTCCCCGGAGATATAATCTCCCTCGAGTGACCGCCGTTCAGGGAGAAGAGGTTGCTGATTGGAAATTCCATCCTTTCCGGGAAATTTTCCCCGAGCCTCTTGGCTCATTTTGGGCAAGGCGGAGTTTCCAAGGCACTTACCACCCGAAGGACTGCGTGGGCCCCGCCTCCTCCCTGTTATATAGGCCACGAGCATTAGCAGCTTCTGGCAAAAGTGGAGTGTGTGTATGATCAGCTCGCCGGTGGAAGGAAGAAGGTTCGCCTGCCAGCTCTGACTTCCAGACGCCGCGTAAGTCGTCCGTCGCGCTTCTTGTCGCCGCCCGACCCCCTTGCACTGGCTTACCCAATTCTGTTAAAAAGATCTAGCCCTCGGATTGTTGTTTGCGCCACCTATTCTAATCTTGGTTACTTTTCACCTTGGTTATTTTTATTATTATTATTAGCATCTTGTGCAACTTAAGTCCGTTGGTTAGTTTATGATTTTCGGGGCAAGTCCAGTGAGTGAGTGTAAGGTAATGGACGCAATGAAAGTGGCGGATCTCGCGAAGGTTGTTCTTGGGTGGTTGGTGCCCTCCCCCCCCCATCCTCACCTGGCTTATCGTCGCCTTTTCCTTTCTGTATCTGCTGCTCTCCTTGGAACCGCTTAAGAGAGAGCAAAGTACATGGGTTTGGGCAAAAGCAAATTCTTTAAGTACAGTAATAGACTCTCCGGGAAAATTCCCTAAGCCTCGTCCCTGTCTTCTGTCTAGGTCCAGCTTCTCTTTGGAAAAACTGGAAGCTGCGGGAATTGACTTCCAGGACAGTCTCAATTAAAAATAAGGCTTCCCGGGTTTAGAGTAGCTCCTGGTAATCCATTAAGTTTATTATGGCAACTATGGCCAGGGAATTCCCACTGGGAATTTTCCGATCTGATAATTTCCAGATGTGTTGCAATGGCAATTTCCAATGTTATAATTTTATGGTTAATATTCCACACATTCTACATTCAGTAGAAAGACTTGCTTAATATAACATATGAATTCTGCTGTGTCAGTCTGACAGTTCAACAAACCATGGCTTAAAACGTTTGAACAAAATTGTAATATTTCAGTGTTCATTAAAAAAGTGAGTTCATTAAGGGGCAAGTCAGTATTAGTGATTTTTAAATTTGACTCAACCAACAGGTGTACAATATTCTAAATCACAGGTACACTGTGTATTTAGGTCTATATTACATATTTTATTTATACATGACAAGAAAACCTAAATGTGTGGTATGTATAGGACTTTAACCAAACCAGGCTGACTAGTTGAATTAAACCAGGATCTGAAAAAAAAATTGGCTTGTAAAAATAATCTGTCAGAGATCATGGTTTGATTAAAACACTAGAGTTAAACCATAGATGGAAGCAAGTTTTTCTTACTACTGGGATTAGAGATTAGGGCAGGATGGGGCAGCTGTTGGGGCGTAGAAAGAAATCTGCTTATCACAGAATTTCATCTGTCTCCAAATATCCTCTCACATCACCAGCCCAAAGAAACCACAGAATTCCAACTTCCATGGGCAGTGATCCAATCAAGCAAGTGAGCCAAGCCATAGAACACAGATGGAGCGGAAGATAAAAGGTCATCTTTAGGACTGGGAGCTTTTTTAGATTCTTTCAGGAGGCTTGAAAAGCCAGGTTTAATTTTTATTTTATTTTAAACGTGTAAATTTTCTTCTGAAATAGGGTGAAATATAAACTTTCATTTGTGTCTAGAATTACATCATATTCATAACCCGAAGTGCAGAGTCAGCTTTATGCAGTCTTCCTTAACTGATGATGTTTCAAAAAAAAAAAGTCCATTTATGTTGTTTGATGAAATACATTCAAACCACAGAACAATGCTGTAGTTTAGTTGAAATTAGTGAAATTTATGAAAGTACGTATTTATTTGATCGGAATGTGTTCAAGTAAAGACTTTGTTCTAGTGCAGGGGTGTCCAACCTTGGCAACTTTAAGACTTGTGGACTTCAACTCCCAGAATTCCTCAGCCTGCAAAGCTGGTTGAAGTCCACAAGTCTTAAAGTTGCCAAGATTGGACACCCCTGTTCTAGTGTCAAATGCTTTTTCATTCTCTTGAATACCCCTCCCTTTTTTTGCAAGCAATATGCTAAACCGGATTTTAAAACAGCATTAATAAAACTGATTTGATGCATTTCCATTGCTTATATTTAAAACACATTTTTACTTACACCTAATGTTTTTCACTTAGGACCATTTGCTTAATGACGGTTTATATTAACTATGGTCTCACAAAGGGTGCTTTATGACTTGTAAAGCACCTCTGACCATCACAAAACATTGCACCAAACCCTCCCAGTCACATGATCAAAGTGCTAGGCAACCTGTTCACATCTATTTGCCAAGTTCCCTATGAACATGTGATTGCCATTTGCATCCCTTCCTTAGAAAGTCAGTGGAGAAGCCATCAGAGAAAGTTGTAGAGCTTGTTGCAAGCAGCTAAGAGTATGTCCTGTCATCTCTGGGGCCTGGTTGGTTGTGCTTGAGGCTGAAGGATTTCAGCTCTGCCCTGGCTTGCAGGGAGCTGAAATCCTTCAACAGAGAATCAGATTTGTCTAGTGGTTGAATCACCAGGCTAGAAACTGCTAGCATACTGTGAATTCTAGTTCCATTTTATGCATAGAGTCATGGCCAGCTCTGTCACTCTCTCTCCGTTCAACCCACCTGAGGGAAAATAGGAAGAAGGAATGTTAGGTATGTTCACAACTTTGAGTTATTTATTTTAAAAAATGATGAAAACTAGGGTGAAAAATAAATTCGTAGTCTTTTCAAACTAATTACAGTAAATTGAGCGACTTTTGAAAGTATGTATTCTTTTGGAACAGCATTCCTCAACCTTTCCAGCTTTGCGGACCGGCATGGGGCCAAGGGGATGGTTGTGCATGAGCTACACACACACACGCTTGCTCACCCACCGCTTACACGGCCCGGTTCTGAACAGGCCATGGCCCCAGGGGTTGGGAACCCCTGTCTTAGAATGTATAGGTGGGAGGTGGGGGTGAAATGCAATTCATCAGGATGGATTGACAATCCAGTGTTTAATCGTAATGGCTTTTAATATAAATCATGATGTTATCCAGATGTTTTAGACTTCAGTTTCAGTCACTTCCAGGTAACATAATCAATAGCAAGGAATAGTTCACACTATAATCCAAAGAAGGCACCATTGTTTAGGCACTTTGCTCTGAAGGACTTCTTTAAAAAGTCTGCATTTATAGACCTTCTGGAGTGTAGTTTGGGAAAGGAAACATTTCACATCATGTGTACTTTCCCATAATTCTTAGGTAGCATTTTAAACTTGGAAAATTATAGAGCCATTGTTTCTAAGATGCAATTAGAGCTAGATTATGGTTGTATTCCTCCCTTAAGATACCTGCTGTCAATATTTCCCTTTTTCCTTCAGAGGGAAAAAAAACAATAGATTAAAAATAAGAAGTGTTACTCTCTGGTGGCTACTGCTTATGTATTTTTTAGTCATTATTTTGCTTTAGGTTGCTATACATTTTCTCTGCCTTATGGGGAAATTTTACTTGTCTTATCAGTTGTACATGGATTTAGCAAGGGAAAACAAATCTTTTGCATAGATAATTGAGAATACATGGACATTCTCCTTGTGTTGTCTACAGTGGAGGTGGACCAAAGTCAGCATTATTTACCAGAATTAGCTATAGTCACCTGCAAAAGTCTTTCATCAGAAGAACATATTATTGATAGGATCTTCTGCGTTCACTGCATATATTTAGGGTTAACCCAAGATACATGGCTAAGATGGAGCAAACATTGCAATGTATCCTGAACTGCCTCATTGCTTCAGAGTCAGTCATTTGAGTTTCTCATATAGTGACCCATGCTGCCTTTGTTTAACATCTGCGATTGCTGGAAGTGCTGTATCTAAGCAACATGGTCTTGTGACATGAGTTGCTTAGTGATGATAATTCCAGCCCTAGTTGCTGTTGTAACTTGAGGACTGTCTGCACAATATTGAAACCTTTTAACTCATAATTCCAAAATATGTTTTATAAACCTACAGTATTTTATCCATTTTTCCCACTTATATTGTAGAATACCGTAGAATCTAAATACCGTATTACTGTTTTTACTGTAACATAATGTTAAACATTATAATTTAAAGCCTCGGAATATTTTTGCTTTGTCAACTAATGGGGATACATTGACATGGTATATTGGGAATGTTTTATCTCTGTTTTTCCTATAGTGCATTTTTATTTACTGAATGACAATTATGGGCTCTGATAATTTCTTCATATAATTTGCAGGGTCTTCCATAGAAGAAAATGCAAAAATCAAGGCCCTTTTTCTATAGCAGTCCTCCAAAACTTGTTAAACAGACTGAAAGCAAGAAGACAGCCAAACCTTCGACATCTTCTGAATCAGAACCTGATTCATTGTCAATTGAATCATCCTCTGAAGAAGCCCATCCAAAGAACCACATGAGAACTGAGAACCACAAGCAGACTCCTCCCCTTGAATGTTTTCCTCAATCACTTTTGGAACTCAGTAGAACAGACCGTGATAAGGACAAGCCGAAAACAGGAATAATACGAAAAATTGTTCATTTTTTTGACAGAGGTGGGAAAAGAAAAGAAAAGAAACCTCAGGAGGAAAACTGTCAACCGATTACAGGTACAGAATGATGATCATATGGAAGGGATAGCCTGTCACTATATGTTAGGGGTCTCCAAACTTGGCACTTGTGGGCTTTAAGACTTGTGGGCTTTTTAAAATTTTGTTACTAATTGTTAGCTTTCCAGAGTCATGTCTATATAGGCAGCCATATACATATATTAAATAGCATACATATTTTAAAAAATAATAGGGTTCGGAAAGGAAAGAGGAAGAGAAGTGATATTCTTCAAGGCTACTGTGAATAGTTGCTATATCTTTTTCTTTTTCTTTTCTTTTTATTTTGAGAGAGAGAGAGAGATTCATCCATGATTCTTCAACTACAGAGTTACTGGGTGGCTGCTAGATTGAATTGAATTGAATTCTTTATTGTCATTGTACATATATACACAGTATACATACAACGAAATTCATGTAACATAACATAGAGGTGTTTGCGATAAGACTTACTTCTGGAATTCCTTGCCATAGAGATTTTCCTGACATTATTACTATCAATCTGCTTTTGATTGATTATGTGCCATCAAGTCAGGGTCAACTCTTATGACCACATAGATTTCCTCCATGATGATTTATCCCTAACCTGATCCTTCAAGTCTTTCAACAATGCACATTGCTACTGGTTGTCCTTGCATTCTCTTTTCTTCCAGCCTTCTCACCATTAATTAGAGCCTTCTGTAGAGAGCTAGGTCTTCATATAATGTGTCCAAAATAGAATAATTTAGTCATTTGTGCCTCAAGTGAGAATTCTTGGTTGATTTGTTCAGTGATCCATTTGTTTGTTTTCTTGACTGTCCATTTGAATTCTCAGGAATCTTTTCCAACATCAGCCTTCAAAAGAGTCAATATTTTTCCTATTCCGCTTTTCCAAAATCCAATTTCCATTTCCATAGAGTGTTCAAGGGGGAATACCATTGCTTACACTATTCTGATCTTGACAGCTATGGATACATCATGACATCTGAATATCTTTTCCAAGGCAATCATTGTGCTAGTCTGTAGCATATTTCATTGCTTCTTATTCCTTTACTGTTGATGGTCAATTCTACAAGGCAGAAGCTATTTATCACTTCAATATCCTAATATCCTCATTATCAGTTCTAAGGCTGGTAGTTGACACCTGTTGGCACTCTTTTGGTCTTCTTTATATTCAGTTTTAGTCCGATTTTTTCATTTTTTCATTCATTCTTGACCTGTATTATTAGAGCTTGCAGATCCTTTGTATTTTCAACTGCCAGATAACAGCACAATGATGTTTCTTCCTCAAATTTTAAAACCATGCTCAGCTTCTTTCATTCCAGCTTCTCGTAAAGTATGTTCAGTGTATAGGTTGAAAGAATAAGTCTCTGTGATTCACAGCTGTTTATGTGTGCTGCATCACAAAATTGTGCTGATGTACACATTACTTATCATTGTTCAGAGAAATGACACAGGGCAACTGCTACTCACTGACACTTCAAAGAAGAAGATTATTTTTGTGCCAGTGACCTCCTTGTTTATTTTGATTACTATTAATCATGAAAGACTTTTGTAAAACCCCAAATGAATTTTGGGGTATCAGAAACATAACTATCTACCTGACCGAGACACAGTCAAACCACAATTTAATAGAAGTATATTGCAATCAATTTTGCAGTGGTCAAAATGTTGAACCAGGTATCACTCCCAAATAACAGACAATACTTTTGCATCCATGGAATATAAATTCTTGTAGTCAGACAGAGCAGTTAAATGCATGTAAATTACATATTGATATAATTCTGCAAATTATCATAATTGATTAAAATATTTTATTGGATTTCTAACATGCCTTTCATTCAAGAGCTATTGGCCCCATTTGTACAATAATGCCATAATGCAAATTATATAAATATCTAGAAATGAGATATTTTGGATTCAGTAGACATCCAGAATAATATATACTTCCTGAATGGTGCATTAGATTTATTTTCAAATTGGACTGATCAGTTCAACAAAATAAGATAACAGAAATGTTAGACTAACAATGAGAAATACAGAATTGGCAAGATATAAGGGTCCTAGACCAGTATTTTGTCTGCTTATTTCAGTTTTTACTTGGAGAGAATTTGCATCCTTGAGGAGCATAAGTCCAAAATGATACTAAAAGCTTGTTAAGGTCAAGAAGCCCTGTGGGATTTCTTTTTCTTAGTTGAGATTCCCTCAAGGTGAGCTCAGACATGGTTGAAGTAGAATAAGTTGAATGATCCCTCAGCCGCTCAGCTATGAAGTACAAGACTCACCCCAACACAGCATACTCAAAGTATTTTTCCTCCTTTTTAAAATGAAAAATTGAAGTAATGGAGAACAAATTTAGTGTAGCTACAGAGGCCAATCTCAATTTGTTATTTTCTTGAAAAAAAAGCACTGCATATACCTTTAAGTTTAGACCATAAACCGTTATGAGTACACTTTACTTGAAATTGGGGAGGATATAACTTGAATGACTTAGTAAACTATCAATCATATGACATTAATTAGCATGGTGTTTCTACTTTGTTTTGCCAGTTGACCAAATCAAGAAGCTGATTAAGAGTCAACATTTTTATGAAGCCAGTCAACATCTCATTGTCATGCAAAAAGAATCCAACAGCAATCTGGACAGCAGCAATGATGAAAAAACACTAGGCAATTGGGCTGAAATTGAGGTTTTGTTAGAAGTTTTATGTCAAAAGGTCTTCAACATCATACAGTCATCTATCAGCATAGCATCAACAGAGCCAGAATTGCTGAATAATGCAGTGAGAGTAGTAATTAAGTGGGTGGAGAAGGAGGAGGAGGAGGAGAAGGAGAGATCTATTCATTCCCAGTTCAAAACATGGAAAGAGGAATGGAGGGACACTATCCAGAAATCTGTAGAAGAACGAATGAAAGCATCTCCTGTGGTTGATAACAAGAACCTCTCTACCATTGCTAGCACTTTCTTGTATATGGGTAAGACTATGAAGATGGACATGATTACAGTGGTGCAGCATATTAAACAGCATTACCCTGAGGATTTTCAGGTGTGCAACACTTATGCCAAGTTCTACCACCAATACTTTTCATCTCAGATGGCGATGTTTGCCGACTTTGAATTGAGCAAAGAAGACAATTACCTAATTCTCAACTGGGTGCAAAATTTATATCCAAAGTAAGTAATGATTTATACTATATCTGGGTTTTTCTGCAAGTCTTGCCACTTTAGACACTGATCACTTCCAGGCAAGGTAGATAAAACTGGCATGCAATAGCACTTAGACATATATACTGCTTCACAGTGCTTTATAGCCCTTTCTAAGTGGGTTAGTGTCAGCATATTGCCCCTGTGATGACTCTGGACAAGGCACAAAGGCCACACTGAGAGTTCAAACTCCCCTTTAATGTTCCAAATTCCCTAAACGCTCCCACGTTCTAGGCAAGCCCCAGAACACAATAGCCTCTGGCTGTGTGCAGTCTAGCAAAGCAAAGGAACTGGGAAATGAGTCGAGTCCACGAAGCAAGGAAGAAGCAAGCAGTCCTGCAAACTCCAGATTTCTGCAACGGCACAGAAACTCTACAAATTCAGTGTTTGTTCAAACGCCCCTCCCCACAGTGTCTCTTTAAATTTCAATGCGTCTTGTGAAGAGGGATGGGGCTGCGCTGTTCCTGCCTTCACTCTCTGTGCTTGGGGATCAGGAAGGGGTAGTCCTTGCTCATCGCCTGAGCTCCATCATTTCCACTGCTTGCCTTCTCTCAGTCATTCTGCCCCTGTTCCTCCCTGCTAACAAGCCATCTCAATCCTGAGGGGCCCTGGGCTGCCTTGTCCTGCTCCTCTCCACATTCCTATGAAATCACCCCTTCGATCTCCGTCAGCTCCAGCTCTGGCTCGTCATCCTCTGCAGATTCAGGCTCCAAAGGGGGCATGACAGCCCCCAACAATCTGGATCCTCATTTTACCAACCTCAGAAGGATGAAAGGCTGAGTCAACCTTGAGACGTTGAGAATCGAACTGCTGGCACTCAGCAGAATTAGCTTGCAATATTGTATTCTAACCACTGCGCCACCACGGCTCTTAATAATGATATAATAATAAAAGATAAAAACAGAATATAATGATAAAAAATAAAAGAGGAAACAAAAGCTGATGGTGGATCTGAGTAAGTATAATTACACATAATTTAGCAGTGGCCCACACAACCTAACCTATAAAGCCTAGGAGAACAATTAGGATATTAAGGCTTTCCAGAATGCCAGCAGGATAGAAACCATGCAAATATAGGGAATCTCATTCCAGATGCAGGCATCACTCCAGAGGAGATAGACTTGTGTGGTCCTGTTAGACAACATTGTTTAATTGAAGTGACTTGGAGTCCACCAAAATTTATTGGATTGAACTAATTAGTATGATATCATGGAAGATAAGCAGTCAGTCAAGTAATCAGGCCCTACACAATGTAGGGCTTCATAGGTCATAATCAACATCTTGAATCACCCCAGAAATATACCAGTAATCTATCCAATAACCTGTTGTTGTGGAAAGTAATTGGCTTTCAATTTTGAGATTCCTACTAAAAATGCATACAAAAATGGAAGCGTGAAGAGAAAATTCCATCAGAATGTGTTAAAAATAGGCCTTAGGGAAAATTATTTGTCAAAATGTGCATTGGCAGGGAAATATGAAAATACGTTCTTTTGAAAATGTTCACTATTTTTCATGCAAATTTTTAAGGTATGTACAAACCGATATGAAAGCAAACTATAATAGGTTTATGATTGAAATAAATGCTGAGGTTGATAAATAATTTAAGCTGATGTAAAGCAGCCCTATGTTGGTCAGAATAGGATTAAGAATGCATCTTTCATTGTTACCTGTTAGGCTGTTATACAGTTGAACCTGTTCAATAACAGATACTGTTATATCTATTTAGATTCTAATGGGGATTATCAAGAAGTTTGGCTGTAACATAAAAGGCAATCTTGAAAATATCTAAATGTAAACTGCACTCAATTACCGTTTGAGGAAATAGAACAATGACCCAATAAAGCAAAAAGCAGTGTCTGTTTTCAATTAACTTTGAACAATTGTCCTCACTGCTCCCCACTAATTCAACTCCAGTGCTTTTTAGATTTCTTGCTTGTTGCAAGGTGGGTTCATCTAGCCTTTTTTGTTTTAAATGCATTTCCCACCCCTGTTTCAGTAGCTTGGATTGTCACTATAAAGGTTGCCAGTATCAATTATTTTTTGAAGACTAGGAGTCTTCAAAAGTCAAATGTGAAATGTTGGTCATACAATATATGGATGGTTTTCACATTGGAATCCAAGCATTCTGTGGCAAATAGCCTACTTCCACATCTGCTTTATATTGAGAATTTTTGGGAAATTGAATCAAACAATGAGGAAAGAATATGATACCAGCTGATGAGATACTTTTTGGCTGTTTCAGGGACATTAAAAACAACAGTGATTTGGTTAAAGAGTTGGATGAAGCTAATCTTGGAAACTTGTTGCCATTGGAACAGATCAAACAGCTTGAACAAACTTATTTGTCCCAGGAAGTGGTAAGAATTCTGCTTATCTTTTTATTCCATAGCTTTTCAAGTTAGTTATGTTCATATAAGAATTTGTGCAATGCGTCACATTTGTTCTTCGGTTGATAGATTCAACTTGTCACTTTTCACAGTGGTTGAGTTCTCACATCTCACCCATCTGAGGGTTCAAAAAAAAAATCAAGGGAGCAGGTGCAACCTCATGATCAAAGCCCTGCTTTTTTTCCTAACACATAAGGATTAAGCTTGAATTCTGTGTTCACACCCACCACGTTGGCTTTTTGGATTGTGCTCCCCCCTGCCCCCCCGGGCCCACGTACCGCAGCCATAGTTCTGTTTCTTTAGCTTTGATTTAATGTGGTATGTGAACAAAACCACTGTGGTTTGTAAGCTGCTTCTAATTTAATACTACACTTGAAACTAGACTACTGTCAGCTTCCCAAGTGGACTAGACAAGAAATGCAACAAGGTGAGCTAATCCTACCTACTACAAGGAGACATTAACACAATCTTGCAAGTGAGAAAGTACAAATCTCTCACTGTCTCTTTTTAACCACCCAATTAATTAGAGCAGATCCCTTCTAAGTTTATTTATCTGCCCATTGCTCAATTGTGCTCAATTGTGGACTACATCCCTTTTTATCTGATTGTTCCCTGAGCAGCACCTCTTCCCCTCTCCCATCCCAGGGTAATTCCTATATAACATTACAGCTGGTATTATAAGTTATTCAATACTGCACTGCTAATACAATGGGGAGAAAGAGGCACTCCATTTGTGTAATTCCTGTTTTGGTACAATTATTGGGGGTTTTTTTCTCATTGTTCTTGGGTAATTTACAATTTGGAATGTAGATGCAAAGATGTTTCTGCTCCTTGCAGTCCCACACTCAGCACCTGGTGTCCAATATATAGTAAATGCCAGAGCCCAGAATTGGGTAAGGTCTCCCTGGTGCTGATGTCTGTCCTTCCTCCATTCACATATTCCCAGAAGAACCTCATTAGGAAGCCAAGGGCTATTGCAGGAAAGTTAATACGTACTCCTAAATATTATAAGTGCTGCTATTACCAGAGAGGGTAACCACTCTTGTATGCGGGAGTTTCCAGAAGTCACTTTGGTGAGGATGGACCATTTTGACTCTTTATCAGCTTTCATTTCATAGCCCCTGCATAGCTCAGCTGGGTAGGCAAAGGCTTATTAAACTGAAGCCCAGCATTTGTTCATGAGCAACTTTTTCACTTAGTGGAAGAATTCTAGCATAGCATGCAGCAGAGTTGCTATTCAGTCATTTTAAGAGCACCTTAGATTTAAATATATGTGCATTTCTAGCGAGATAGCTGCTAATTGTATATTTTGGTCTTTTCTTCTTTTCCCACAAAGGATTTTATTAGATGTTGTCTGGACAAGTGTTTGAAAATAGAAGTCAATAGCTGGACGCAAGAGGCAAAGCCAAGGATATTAGATAATTATTATCATAGTGAATTATCAATAGATGCTATAAAGGTAACTAACACGTATTTTATATTTAAGTATGTATTATGCAATCAGCTCCTGAAAAGTTGTTCCAGGACCGCAGCATTCCTATGGAAAGATTCATAATTATAGATCTACCCTGATAGTGGAAGAGCCTCAAGAAGGCATTCCTGGACATTCAGAGTAATCTTACTTCCACTGGATCTTTTTTCCCATCAGCCCATTCCCAGTTCTAGCACACTATTATAGTTGAATCTGGCAGAGTAATTTTCAACTAATTTCAGCGAGAGAATTAAAAGGAAAATATATGCCAAGACAAAAAATGGAGAGCAAAACTATTTTTGTTTTTACTCTGACTACAGCAAGTCAATAAAAATTGAAATAATGGATGGCCTAATGTAGAACTTTCTAATCACTATTAAAGTCACTGGTACATTTGCAATGCTCCTACATTCAACCATTTCATTCCAGATCTTTGGGCTGCCGAATAAACTGTTAGGTTGATTTATTATTGAGAATAGTGCAAACAAATTCCAAATGTTCTTATCCATGGGTTTGATTAAGACCATTTTAAATCCATTTTTTTTTCATGATTTGAACCGTATTCTTCTGATGCACACATTCTCATATTCTCACACAATTACTACTACTACTACTCCCCAAAATAATACTACATAGTCTTACAAACCCTGGGAAAATCCCCTATCTATAACTTTTCCCAGAATGAAAATTAAAAATAGAAAACTAAAATAGATTTGGTCTGTTTTACTAGAGAGAAGCAAACAAGTTTCACTAATACAGTGAAGGTTTACTGACAAGAAATAGTTACTTTTTTCCCTCTGTATAGAGTTTTAACAAGAGTTCAAGCAAATTAACTGAAATGTATTCCCAGTTAAGGGACCATCCTAATTAGACTCCCAATGAGATTAGTTATAAATGCAGATACATAAGGTAGAGAACCTGGGCTGAGATCAGAGAGTGGGGACATGCATCTGATGGCCAGCAGTGATGACGTGCCCACTGGATTCTTGTCCATAATACTCTTCTTTTTACCCATTCATGTCTAGGTTGCCAATCCCATCCTTTCTGATATAGACTTTTTGATTGGCTCTTTACTGTGGCTGGTTCTTGCCTTTTTCCCCCCTAAAACAATAATCCTCCAGCCCTACCCCAAGATTGCTCAGGTTTTGTGCCTACTCCAGGCAACCAAGAAATGTTTCAATAACACTTCCTCCTCCTAAGCTGTGATCTTCACCACCTGCTTCCTACTTTACCTCCATCTACAGATTCTGTAGAATTTCAACCAGTTGGGATTTTCCCGTTTTGCATCACCTGACAGAGGAACAAGCAACATCCTATTGCAAATTTTAACTTGGCAGGTTTAAAGAAACAAAGTTGCAGCTGCAAAATATGCTTTAAATATTAAACAATATACATTAAAACATAGCAAACCAGTGCAAATTTCAAAAATTCAATTCCAGTTTCAAAGTTTCCCAACATCATAACTATTAAGCTTACTCTATTTCTCATTTGAAAGTGTGCTGAAACACACCCTCAACGTTCTTGACAATTGGAGGAGAGTCACAGAGTTCAGCTTATAACATAAGCAGGAAGTACTTAATTACAGAACTGGGAAACCTTGTCATTCTGGAATAGAAATGTGGAAACTGTCACCAAAAAATCCATTGTCACTTTAACATCCTTAGGAATTTCCTGGTTTTAGTCAGCCTGGAAGGGGAAGCTTGCAATACTGGTCAAATGGGACTGGGCTGTGGAAGAATGAGTTGAAAAACATGGACAAAAAGTAACATTTGAATTTCAAAAACAGAAGTCGTCTATTTGTTTCTGGAACTTTATTATTTAATTTTCAAATGGTATGCATTTCTTTCTGTTCTTTGGGATTATCCCATTTTGCTTACTAATATATAGAGATACAAACTCAAGGTTAACCGCACCAAACTTGATTGCAGGAAATACGACTTCAGCAACAGAGTGGTCAATGTCTGGAATACTCTACCTGACTCTGTGGTTTCTTCCCCAAACCCCAAAAACTTTAACCTTAGACTGTCTACTATTGACCTCACCCCTTTCCTAAGAGGTCTGTAGGGGGCGTGCATAAGCGCACCAGTGTGCCTACTGTCCCTGTCCTATTGTTTCTTTTATTTTTCTTATATGTACCCATTTCATGTATTCATAACTATGTATACCTATTATCTTGTAAGCGATTGACAAATCTAAATAAATAATAAATAAATAAATCTTCTTGGTGTCCTGTTGGAGAAAATGTTTACATTTATGATTATGCTTGTAGAATGGGAGAATTGTGTATTAAAAAGTTAAGGTATTAATTCTTTGATTTTGTGGGGGGATGTATGTTTTAGGCTATCAGTGAAGTACAAGAATGTGCTAAGGCCATCACTCGAGAGGTGGGCCACCAAATGTCAGCTTTGCTTTTGACAGAACTCTTGACTTTTCTGCAAAGGTAAGATAGCAAATTGTTGGTAACGTGATTTCATATCAAAGCATGCTTGGCTACCAGTGTAAAGTTACTAATGATTGTTTTCATTTTTATGATCTCTCTAGCTACAACAACGAACTGGAGATATTCATTAGAGAAAATAATCAGAATATATATTTTGAAGCTATAATAATTGCAAACATTAACAATTTCGAGAATTTCTGGTAAGAACAGAATGATAGTATAACAAATTTCTTACATATGTATTAGAAAACCAAGAAACATAATAGGGTTCTGCAAAATGTTTGAACTTTCTCATTATTTTCTTATCCATAATCTTGTTCACTGCATTATTACCCCAAGCATTCTTCTTCATAATTCTCATTAGCATATAACTACACATTTCCATAGCAGTTCATAATGTAATTATTTTATTCCCTTCCAAGCCATTTCATTATTCCTACCCTTTTCTTACATTCATTTTCCATTCATTTTCTTAGGAGATTCATTTTATACTCTTTCCAAAAAGGATTTACAATCATTGTAATTTTTGTCTAGTTTCTTTCATTTTCTCTCATTTTCATCCATGTCCATTTTTCCCCAAAAGATACCCTGATATTTTTAGAAAATTATCTATTATAATTTGAAACCATCTGGTCTCATCCATGTATCCTTTACTACTACTACTAGTCATTCATCATAAACAATTAAATCAATCAGGATTTATGATTCATTTTTCCAGATGTACATATGAATACATTTATTCAGGACAAAAAGATCTGTTTCTAAGCAGATATTATTTTTACTCATTTTTGGTCTCCAAAAGGCCAAATGTTTTTTCTAAATACACTCACTTGGTTTCCATCATGCATTCATGTTGTCCCATTAAAATAATTATTTCCTCCTGGATCACATCTGTATAAACTGTTGCATAATGTTTAATTCTTCCACGTCCCCGTTGAGTGAAGGGTATATATCTGCTTTTATATATACTCATAATAACCTAAATGAAAATATGTAGTGCTTTCTGATATAGCCCTTTATAATAATTTTTATTTATTTATCAAATTGATTTGTTGCCCATCTCTTAAGTCCAGGAGACTCTGAGCAATTTACATCAAGATAACATAAACAATCAATGACTATGAATAAAAATGGATTCAAATTATAGAAGTTAAGATGAGCTAAAAAAACAAAAGTTTGAAGGGGAGAGATGGGGTGACTTCCCTGCTAGTGTACCAACCATCTCCAGCTTCTCCTTCAGGACCTCATACTTTCAGCATGCCCAGATTTTAAGGCTTTTCCTGAGGGGGCGGATCTTAACCTCCTGAGGTATGATGTTCTAAAGCAGGGGTCTCCAACCTTGGCCAGCTTTGCTGGCTGAGGAACTCTGGGAGTTGAAGTCCACAAGTCTTAAAGTTGCCAAGGTTGGAGACTCCTGTTCTAAAGGGTAGGAGTATTGGCCAAAAAAAAAAATCTTCTCTGGTGGGATCTTCTCCTGGATCCCACCAGCCAAAATCCCTTGGCTTCTGGGATCCATATTAGGTCCCTTTTGCCAGCACAAGTGGGGTGGGCCAGTCCCATTGGGATAGGCAGTTCTGCAGATACCCTGGACCAGTGGTGGGATTCAATTTTTTTTTTTTTTTTACTATCGGTTCTGTGGACGTGGCTTGGTGGGCGTGGCAGGGGAAAGATACTGTAAATCTCCAGTCAGAGGTGATATTTGCCGGTTCTCCAAATTACTCAAAATTTCCGCTACTGGTTCTCCAGAACTGATCAGAACCTGCTCTAATACCACTTCTGCCTTGGACCCATGCCATAAAGACTTTAAAGGTAATAACCAATATCTGCAAGCAGATCATCAGCCAGTGCAACTGTTGTAACACTGGTGTTACATGTGCCACCCTAGGGGGCCTCCAAAACTGTCCACCCTGTTGCCTCCTGGATCAATTGTAGCTTCTGAAAGTTCTTTAAGGGTAGCCCCAATTAGACCTACAGTTCTTCTCCACATATATTCATCAACTCCACTCTATATGCTGTGTCTGCTTTTGTTCAAGGTATTACCACCTTCCCATTTCTTTTGGGCAGCGGGTTGGATTAGATGACCTACAAGGTCCCTTCCAACTCTGTTAATCTGTTAAATCTGTTTTCACAGACAATTTACCTGTATTTATTTCTGCTGCCCATTCCAGAGTTGGTCAATTTAATCTTTCATATGACATTTTTAAGTGAGATAGGAGAAGGTATAATGTATCTTACCAGCTTATTTCTTATACTAGTGCTACATTCAACATTCCTTCCTAAAGGTAAAGGAAGTGGTCAGTTCTCACACATTTTGGGCAACATGCCACAAGTCCACTTTTTCTTAAGCATGCATCTAAATTGAAAAGATTACATTAGTATTAGCAACCATTATGATTATTGCTGCTATTATTATTCTGATTTGTTATGTATACTTTTTTGGTTGAGAATTGCATAGCATTGTATTCACTGGACTTGTAAGCTGCTGTAAGCAAAATGAACTGATGTTTTAAAATAGCTGAAGAGCAAAGCCTTTAATTCATTGTTAATTGGATTTTCAGGACCCATACAGAGAAAAACACAGATTCAGCTGAGAGTGATGTTAAAACGAACATCTTTTCCATACTTGAGAACATTCGGACGACTGGGTTTAATGTGTTCCTTGAACCCTTGTTTCAAGAGTCACAGGTATTCTTATAGATATATACTACAAAGCTACTTACCCAGCTCATTCAAGATCCTTTGCTGCCTGAGGGAAAGCATAAGATGAAACTTAAACCTTCTTCATTCAGTGAAGGTGAATGAATGACTTTCTCTGGCATTCTAAGGATGGAAAAGCACCTTCATCCTTCTATACTGCAAAAAGCAAACTATGTTTTATGATAGTTTTCTCTTCACTGGAAGGCAACAGCAGGGGGGTGGATGGGAATGGATTAAGAATAGCCACAGGTCGCTCAGCCTCCCAGAAAATGACCCATTCTCTGATGGAATAGTTATCCTTGCTCTTTAATCTTCAGTGGAAAAATAGTGTCTCCCAGGAAAACATTTTTTAAAAGTTAAAAAAAATTAATTAAACAAGTCCATAACCATCTTAAGAATGTCTGGGGAAAAGTTGCATTAAAATGCTTATAATAAAATAAATTATAATGAACATTAAGGAGCAATTGAGCCCACAGTATGATAGCCTGAACTATGAAGGAGAAAGGACAGTGAAAGTATCTTTGTTTGTAATTTTTTTTTCCAGTCACGTTTGAACTAGCAGAATTAGATACTGCTTGAAAAATACCTAATAAAGCTTTTCCTCAAAGAAAAGGGTTTTATGGGAATTTCTTTTCAAAAAACTGATACAATTTTTAAAATTTGTTCCTCAGACGCTTTTGAGACAGTTTAATGAGAAGAGATGGGCTTCCTGCAGTGATCTTATGGATGAAATAATTACATGCATGGATGCCCGTATCCGTGTGTTCAAGATGCTTAAAAACCCTCATCGCCAGGTGAGCTGATGCGAGGAACTGCAAGTGCAAACATTTTTATGCTTTTCAAAATTTAATACTAAGAATGAAGTGAGCCAATTCATGCAACCTAAACCTTGAGGTGGACGAATAAGAGCTAATGTGGTTTGTTTATTTTTTTAAATCACTTTTCATGACGTGCACATGTATTTCCATTATTAACTTTTTAAACAAGTTTTACATGATTTTGAAATGTTACAAAAGCCTGTCCCAAAGGTGCTTTTTCAGGAGGCAACTATACTTTCTTGTTTTTTCTTTTGAAGATGTTTTGCTTCTCATCCAAGAAGCTTCTTCAGCTCTGACAGGATAGTGGGGAATGGAAGGATTTATATTCCTTGCAGACAGCTGGTAATCTGCATCCTTTTAGAGGGTGGTTGAAGCACTTGGCGGTTTATCTGTGTCCTCAGGGTCACCTGAGTAGTGCTCCTGGTTCCTGTAGTCTGCCATTTTTCCTCTGGAAATCCATTCCTACTCCCACACCATTCAAAGGGAGTTCATCCCAAATTGTATAGATAAAAGTCTGTAGAGATTCTCAGTCATCCAGGTCATAGTTGTTCCAAATGTGCTTTTGTAGGAGGCAACTGGACTTTCTTGTTTTTTCTATTGAAGACATTTTGCTTCTCATCCAAGAAAGTTCTTCAGCTTCTTACAAAAAAACCTTCACAACCGATGTGTCAAATGGTGGAAATGGAATCAATGCCCATGGTATACGCATAGTTAACTACTTTCCGAAACAGCTGTTTTCTGCCTCCATTTGTTAGAATGGTGCAAATGTTATAAACTAAGTGTTAGGCATCCAGAAATTGTCCATGGTAATCAATCAAAAGCTTAAAACTCATTAAAAAATGGTAAAGGTTTCCTCTTCCAGTCGTATCCAACTCTAGGAGTTGGTGATCCTCTCTGAGAGAACAGCATTGCCGGAAGATGTTTCCAAGGTCATGTGGCCGGCATGACTATATGCCGAGGTGCATAGAACGCTATTATAGATTGACAGGAGCTGGAGCAAGAGCAGGAGCTTACCCTGTCACATGGTGCTGGGGTCTCAAACTGAGGACCATATGGTTGACAAGCCTAGATTCCGTGCCCTCCTTTCCCGGGAGGGGAAAAACTTAAAGGCTTTTTATCACAGATTACAAATTAAGGCTGAGATCCACCATTTTCCTTTCATTACCACCAAGGTGACTTAAACCCAAAGAAGTAAACTCATCTTAAAAATATCTCTTTTCTGGTCTGAATTTCAATATATTATCCCTAACAGGAAAAGAACTCTGGGTTTTCTGAATAGCCTAGATTAGTTCGGTTTGCATGTTTGCTGAAATCCTAATTTGAGAACATGAGAGAAGAGTTGCTACATGGATAGGAGAAGTTGTCCTTTGGAAATAAAGAAACATCTGGCATTTTTCAGGCATCAAAAATCCCTCCCCACCCACCCAATCCATTTCACAATTATAGTTAGTACATTTTTGGAATCCCTAGGAGTGATGAAATGGTAGGACAATTATTCTTTTTTCTTTTTTAAATTTTATTCCATCTGTTTTTTAAAAGAACATGGCAGCATTCCAGATTTCCCAGGCCGAGCTGTCTTGGATTGGCTCATGGCTGCTGATGTCACTTGGAGTCCCATTCTATAACTCCAGCAGAGGAGTTATAGAAGATTTTGGCTTGTTTTTGTCAGGATTGACACCATGCTCAATTCTAAATCTTGTCTTTCTATTCATTTAATCCCTCATTGATGAATTGACTTACTCAGCAGAAGGCTCATGGAAATGACAAGATTCTTGTCTTTATTGCTGTGAAAATGATGCCATGCGCTAAAGAAAAACTTCCCTGCTTCAATGCACAACAGTCAAGGCCTCTATATAGAATCTGTGAGATTTAAGTACCTCAAGAATATATGGCCTTGAAAGGCTCCTGATGAGGCGGTGGGTGATGAGAAGATTTAGCTTCTACGTTTGTTTCCAAAATCCAACACAAATTCCCAAGAAACGACCTGTTTGATTCACCTCCTAATTCTAGACAATAAACCTGCAGTATAGTGTTCTGCAGAGATCAGAATATGTGCATAGATAAATCCTGTATAGTTTTATGCATGTGTAAAGTACACCTGAATAAAAATTTTTGACTGATCCTCCTCATCTATTTTATGCATGCATAAAATATGTAAAATAGCTATGAATAAATTACATACAAAATACATGATTAAATCCCAATGAGATTTAGTAGACATTCTGGTTTAACAGACACCCCTTTATTGGCTCATTAAACTGATGGTTAATGGGATTTTGATCTGGTTGGTGAGCAGCATAAGTAGTTTCACTGTTTATTACTCATCATTCACAATCGTAATTATAATCACCTCAATACTTTCAAATCAAATGATCAAAAAATAACAGACTTAAATCCAATTACATGAGATTTTCATTACAATATGGGATAACTGCAGTTTGTATACCGAGTAAGAAACTACAAAAAGGAGATTTGAAACATTGTATGAATTATTAATAATCTGCAGTGATTGTAACTTGGTGGCGGACTTCATATTATGCATTCCAAAGTTTCCAGTCCTCACCTTCTCCAGGCTTATGCTAGAAAACCATCTGAAACTGTATAGCTCTTGCTAGGTAGTGTAGACTAGGAGTGAGCCATATAGAACCTTCCAGATATTACTGAACGATGAGTCCCAGGACCACGCACTATTAATGTCTCTGGATGGAGTTGCTGGGAATTATTACTGAAGAATAGCCCACCTATGGCTCCTTGCTGAAGTATCCAATGTTGAATTTGATTTATTCCACCATTGGCTTTGCTTGTTGGAAGCCAATTGGGAAGGTCACAAATGGAGGTAACATGACCCCAGATTCTGCAATCATTGTAAATTGTAAACACGTACTGGTGTAGCAGTAGAAAAATTACACATAAAGCACTTTTATATTTAGCAGAAGTCCCCCAATTCTCCAAAGCTTTGCTTAATACAATATTGTGCAAAACCACAAAGTTACTGAACCAAGGAACTAGCCATGTTCCAGTAAGCAACGGTGGATATGGAAAATAACAGATGGTGTAAGATAAAATGAATAATTAAATGTACTTCTCCTTTTTTGGTATAGTTTAATGAGAGAAACGCCCCGGGCTAAGCTGAGGTCACAAAATGTATAAAAGTGATGCCTCAGGAAGAGCCAGGGGTTCAGAATTTGCCATTCTAATGCTCTGAACCTTGTGCACAAATAAAAACCTGTATTCTCCAACCTTTCGTGGTCTTGTGTCCTGATTTGGAAACAGGATCTGCTGCAACACTGGTGCCAAGTGGCCAAATTTTGATCACGTGACCATGGGGATGCTGCAATAGTCATATTGTGCAAGGGTCAGTTGTTAAGTCATTTTTTTCAGTGCCATTGTAACTTTGAATGGTCACTAAATGAATGGTTGTAAGTTGAGGATTTCCTGTAATATGTAGCACCAAGAGTTTTTTTTAAGGAAATACATTAAAATGTTTTCCTAGCATTAGTCTAGATCACCTCTCCCCAGGCCATAGAAACTACTTTGGTTTGAAGAGAAACCAGTTATGTACACGATGGTATTTTTATAACTCTGACAGTAGAATTTGTTTTCTTCCCTGTAACTGAACTAAGAAAATTAACCTCTGCTTCTTCTGTTATAGGTTATCATGGAAAAAATTCATCTCTTTCTAGTCCAAAAATACATTGAAAGGCTTGTGTGGAGAAAAACCACACTCAAATCTCCTGAGAAGCAAAATCAATTGTCTGAACTTATCCGAAGTCATGCTTCTATTTTGTACACATTTTGCACAGAGAATGTAAGTCTGCATCTCCAGTCCTGTAATACCACTCTGGATGCCTTGTTGACCTTGAGGCATCCAGTAATGTTCACTGTAGAGTGAAAATTCTTTGTTGTTTAACACAGTGGTCCCCAACCTTTTTTGTACCAGGGACCAGTTTCAAGCACAAACACTTTTTCAAGGACCGGGGGGGGGGGGGGGGGGAGAATCTGAGTTTGGTGGTTTGCTTGCAGACGTTTCATTACCTGACTAGGTAACATCTTCGGAGGTGCTGCGGCGACAGGAAAAGCCACCACCACCCCGGCTTCTTTGAAGCAGTTTCTTCCTGGGCTGGTGGAGCAGCGAGAGAGCGACTGAGAGAGGAACGAGGCAGACACCTGAGGGAGGGAGGGAGACACCTGAGGGATGGGGCTGAGGGAGGCAGGGCCGAGGCGCTCCCTGAACTTGGTGGTTTGCTGGCAGACGTTTTATTACCCGACTTCGTTTCGGAGCAGCTTCGGCTGATAAAAAGAGGCGAATAGTTATTATTCTCACCAGAAACGAAGAAGGCAGGCAGGCAGGCAGAACGGAGCACTGTGGATTGAACTGCGCGCGGGTGGGCAGGGTGGGGGTGAACGGGCGCTTCGGAGGTGCTGCGGTGACAGGAAAAGCCACCCCCCCCCCGCTTCTTTGAAGCAGTTTCTTCCTGAGCTGGTGGAGCAGCGAGAGAGCGACTGAGAGAGGAACGAGGTGGGAGGAAACCGAAGCCGCTGAGCCAGAGAGCAGGACAGGCTTTGGTTGCTTCCTCCCTCCCCTTCTCTCGTTTGTGTCCTTGATCCCCGATCCCAGCAGCATTCACCGAAGGCGAAGAAAGCCACCATTTATTTTTTCTTTGCGGCCCGGTACAGAGTGCTCCACGGACCGTTACCGGTCCGCGGCCCGGTGGTTGAGGACCCCTAGTTTAACAAATAGTTTGGAGAAACGGATAATAGGCTTAAACTCAGGTAGCCAACTGGTACCAACGCTGTGAAGTCATATTTTGGCAGTAAAGGGGGATAGGCAGACTTGAATATTCGGTAAGCCTACTCTTATCTCTTTCCAACCTAAATCCCACAATCTTCTGAAAAGTTCCTGCTAAATTTAGAACTGTACACCAGTTCAGTTCAGAGTACATGCTTTGCGTACAGACATTCTCTACTTCTGAGCAGGACATGAAAAGGTTCCTATAGGAAAGCTACCAGTCAATGTAGATCAGGGGTGTCAAACTTGCAGGCCACGAGCCGGATGCGTCACATGCTGACCCCGACCCCGCCCGGTTTAGCAAAGGGGGAAAAGTCCTGATACGTCACATGATGACCCTGTCACAATGCGAGTTTGACACCCCTGGTGTAGATCAGTGTTTTAGATTGTTTTAATTGCATGTTTCAAGTCCAATACTCTTGACTGTTCTAGAGACTGTTCTAAAGAGTAATAAGGAAATACATAGAAGCATCAGGGAGACTATATACAAAGTACTACTGTCCACCCCACTAAGTTGGGGAGGTTCTACCATTTTGTATCCAGTGATTATTTTTGGAACAAGAACAAGAAATTAAGGAAATACACTTTTTGTTGTTGCTGCTGCTGCTACTGTTATTGTGTTTTGTTGTTGTTGTTATTAGCCTATGTAGCTTTGGGTACTATCATAGTCAAGTTACATCATTGGAAAGGGTGGTGCTGAAATTTTCAGTACCACCTACTCCAATTTCAGGAATTTGTTTGTTTATTGAAGCAAAATGTATGTGCTTCACCTATTCAACGTCTGATATATATGTTCTTGCTTTTACAGATAGTCCTTGACTTGCCACCATTCATTTAGTGACTTCTAAAGCTACAGCAGCACTGAAAAAAGTGACTTATGACTGATTTTCACACTTATGACCATTGTAGCATCCCCATGGTCATATGATCAATGTTTGGGTGCTTGGCAACTGGCATGTACTTATGACAGATGCAGTGTCCTGGGGTCGTGATCACCATTTGTAATTTTCCCAGCTGGCTCCTGACAAGCAAAGTCAATGGGGCAAGTAGGTTTACTTAACAACTATATGATTCACAACAACTGCAGTGATTTGCTTGATAACCATGACAAAATGTCATAAAACTGGATGTGAATCATTTAACAACTGCCTTGCTTAGCAATGGAATTTGGGTCTCAATTGTGGTCATAAGTCAAGGACGACCTGTACTTCTATAAGAAAAAGTGTAGTTCTATTTTTTTTTTAATATAAATTTTATTGAAAGTTTTAAAAAGAGTATCACAATGAGCACAACCTAATAAAGAATTTAAAAAAAAACAAGAGAAAAGAACAAAGACAAAGCTACTGAAAGAAAAGATAAGAAATAGAAAGAAGCAACTTCCAATTTTCTTTGCAGCAAATTTTAAAAAAGCATGATTTCAACATTATCTCTTACTATATAAACAGTGTATTCTGTTTTTCAGTGAGGCTGCTAAGGTGGTCTTCAGAGGTTGCAATGAAAAAGTTGGGGGCATGCAGGGTTTAGGTTGCCCATCTCCTATTTTGAGCATTATTTCAAAGTAAATGGGTGAGATAATTTATAATTGGTAAGAATTTGCAGAGTGAAATATTAAAACAGTCTATTTTATTTCATTAGGGGTCTAATGCCACATGGCTGGAATCTGCTCTCCCAAGCTTGGCTGAAATCATCAGACTTCAAGATCCAGATGCTATTAAGATTGAAGTCTGTGCACTTGTCAGTAAATATCCTGATATCAAGTAAGGGGGAAACGTCTTACGAATTTGCTTTTAAGGACTAACCCAGTAACAATTGATTTCTCTGATTTTGTGCCACTAACACCACCATCTATGCTAGAATGGGCAATGTGCATTTCTCACCCATCCCATTTGAAACCACAGAATCCCAATTTTGCATCCCTCAGAGTTGTCTATAGAGATTCTCAACCACCTAGGTCACGGTTCCCCCAAAGGTGCGTTTTTTCCAAAAGTCAACTGGACTTTCTTGGGTTTGTTTGTTTTTTCAAAACATTTTGCTTCTCATCCAGAATTGAAGAAGCTTCTTGGATGAAAAAGCAAAATGTTTTCAAAGAAAGTCCAGTTGCCTTTTGGGGAAAAAAAAGCCCCTTTGGGATCCCTCAGAATTCCCTCTGAATGCAGTTTCCAAAAGCCAGGCAGCATAGTTTCTTGATATCTTAAAAGGTTTTGAGAACTAGTTGCACTAGTTGCATTCTACATCTAAGCCTTTTTAAATTTAAATGAAAAATGAACATTTCCACTGCACTGATTTGAGCCACTCGTATATTTTGTGGCTCCTAGGCAGGACAGAAGCAGAAAGAAAAGGTTAGATTCTCCTTGAATTATCCTATGAAGTATACATCAAGATTTGCTGCAGTTGGATGGTATACAGGTAGCTCTTGACTTACGATCGGTTGCTTAGCAACCATTTGAAATTACAACCTACCTAAAAAAAAGAGGATTTAACAATCCAGATTTGAGGTTCCAACTGTCATCCCCCCTCCCACAGTTATGTTCACATTTATGGCCATTTGCATCATCTAACAATCAGATGATCATATTTTACAGCAGTTTTGCTTGAAAACCAGCACTTCTGGCTTTTGACAAAACCTTACCACAGCGAAACAGTGGGTTTTGCTTAAGAACCACAGTTTTTGCCCTTATGATTGTCATATTCACTTAACCACCACCACAAATAACAATGTAAAATCAGATCTGTCACTGATCTGTTTTACAACTGTTAGGACTTAACAATAACTATAATGATGAATCATACTCTCAATGAAGGCATCAGTACTTTTAGTTAAGAAACTAATTTCTATTAGTTCCCATGTATAATGAATAACAATAGAATGAGAAATGCAGATTTATCCTGAAAAAACAAGCAGCACTTCAAGGGAAATATTTGTTGCTGAGCTTCTTCCTTTTTCATTCTTTCCTGTGCTATATTTGTGGCTGAAAGGGGCATGTTGAAGCATGTTTACATTAGCTTTGAATATCTGTTGTTGTCCTTTATAAATTGTTTTATTTTTCTCTTCCATTCAGTTATGTCTACTTCTCAGAGTTTTCTTGGCAGGGTTTTTCAGAAGTAGTTTGCCATTACCTCCTTCTTACAGCTGACAGAAAAAAACTGACCCAATTCACCTAAGCTTTGTGCCTAAGGTGGTCTCCCTGTTTCTAATTGCTACCTTAACCACTACACCATGCCAGTCTGGCTTCTTATAACTACACGAAGCTGAAATGATTGCTTCTCATTTCACCTCGCCATTTTTCTCACCACATTGCTGTCATTCCTCATGCTTTGTTTGTTTTTTTCTCCTTCCAATACAGACGGAGACAACTTCGAGCCATCTTGAACATTAAGTCCTTATCCAGTAGCAACCTTAAGAGCATTTTGAGTGTGCTAAACATTCATGGAGATGCGACGCTGCCATCATCATTGCTGTTTTCAGGCATTAGGCTGCCATTTCCTCTGCAATGATTTGAACAACGCCTGCTGTACCTTTTGTAACTCCTAGGCAGGATAGAAGCAGAAAGAAAAGCTGGATTCTTCTCGAATATATATCAATATATATCAAAATTTGCTGCAGTTGGATGGTATACTGGTAGCTCTTGATTTACAAGTGGTTTTTCAGAAGTAATTTATATTGCCTTCTTCCTACAGCTGACAGAAAAAGACTGACCCAAGATCATCTAGATAGCTTTGCGTCTATGTTGGGACTAGAACTCACTTGTCTCCCAGTTTCTAACTTGATGCCTTAACTACTACACCAGTCTGGCTCCTTATAACTGCATGCAAAGCTAAAATTTCTGTTTCTCATCTCATCTCCCCATTTTTCCTGCTACTTTACTCTGTCATTTCTCATGCTTTGTTTTTTTCTCTTTCCGATACAGAAAAAAACACCTCTATGCCATCCTGAACATTAAGCCCTTATCCAATGCCAACATTAAAAGAATTATGAGTATGCTAAAGATTCATGAAGATGCCACGCTGCCATAATTATCACTGTTTTCAGGTGTCAGGGTACCATTTAAATAACTGGGATAATTTCCATTTATGGAAAAAGTTGTATTTAATAAAGTTCTACTGTTGGCATAATTGCATAACTCAATACTCAACCCTGGGGAAAAAAAAGTGACGTTTAGATGGAATGTAACATTCAATACAGCTAGTCCTCGTTTTTTGACCATAATTGGAACCAGAATTTCTGTTGCTAAGCAATACAGTTGTAAAGTGAGTCACATTGGAGTTTATGACTTTTTTGCCACGATTATCAAGTAAACCACTCCAATTGTTTAATTTGGCTTCCCCCATTGGCTTTGCTTGTGGGAAGTTGTCTAGAAAGGTTGAAAATGATGATCAGGTGACCATTGGATGCTGCAACCATCATAAATACATGCTGGTTGCCAAGTGCCTGAATTTTGATCATGTGACCATGGGATGCAGCGATGATCGTTAAGTGTGAGGACCAGTCCCAAGTCACTTTTTTCAGTGCCATTGTAGCTTCGAATAGTCACTAAACTAATAGTTGTAAGTTGAAGACTACCTGTATATTAATCATCTTGCAGGAAGCATCCAGTACCTTCATGCTGGTTCATTTTCCCCTATAAAAACTAGGGCCTATATCTCCTGCAAGCTATCTCATATAGGTGGAACAGATATGACGTTCAGAGGTTGTTTCATTTTTCTGCTATTAAAGCATTTGGCTGGAAGAACACATGTTTTGCATGTGATTTCTTTGGGACAGATGGAGTTAAGAGAACAAAGACCTTCGTGAAATTACAGAGGATACAGAATGAAATGAACATTTGAGACATAGCCTTAGTTAAGAAACAAAATCCAGCTAAAGCTCTCTCACGTTAAACAAATGACCATATGAAAATAAAATGTAAATCGAGCTTTGCCTAATTAGTCTATCGTTATCAAAAGCCAGTTTTAACTCAGCATTTTGTTTACAGCTCCTGAGATAAGAACTAGTGTAGTGCAGCATCACAAGAACTGACTAGAGCAGGAGAGTCAAACTCAAGGCCTGTGGGCCGGATCCAGCTGCGGGATGCTTAGATCTGTCCCGCAGGGCCACTCTGGAAACAGTGAAGGACTGGCCCGTGATGTCTCTGCAGCGAAAAAGGGCTCCCGATCTCCATTTCTGGCAGAGGGTTGCAGGAGGCTGTCCCAGCCGAAAACTGGGATGAAAATGGGAGCCCATTTTCACTGGCAGAACGCTCCAGCCACCACAGGTGCCCCCGACACAACGTCAAGCTCAGAGATGGTATTCAGCAGGTTCTGACCAGTTCTGCAGAACCGATAGTGGAAATTTTGAGTAGTTGACTGGCCCCGTCCCCATCTATTCTCTGCCTCCCAAGTCCAGCTGATTGGCTGGGTCTTCTCTCCTGCACAGGAGAACGGAGCTGGAAAGCAGGTTAGTGGGGTGGGGAGGGAATGGGGATTTTGCAGTAACCTTCCCCCAGGAGTGGGGTGGGAATGGAGATTTTGCAGTATCCTTCCCCTGCCATGCCCACAGAACCGGTAGTAAAACATTTTTGAATCCCATCACTGGTCAAGCTGGCCATGCCCACCCTGGCCACATCCACCCTGGCCCGCTGAGATCAAACACAACCCTGATGCAGCCCTCAATCAAGATGAACACCCTTGGACTAGAGGCTGCATTCAGATTCTTACTTGGCTATATAAAACGCAGGTGATTTGAAGCCACTCATTCTTTCCCTGGTTCACTTAACTCACAAGGTTGTTCACATGATCACATGACCCCAGGACACTGCATCTGTCATAAATGTGAGTCAGTTGTCAAGCATCCAAATGTAAATCGTGATCATGAGGATGCTGCAATGGTCATAAGTGTGGGAAATGGTCATGTCACCTTTTTCGGTGTTATAATTTTGAACGGTTACTAAGCAAACTGTTATAAGTCAAGGACTACCTGTATATACATATTAATATCTGTACACAATAGTTGTAAATAGAAACATGTTGCTGTGTATAGTGTGCTTTATTTTTAACTATGCCACTGTTTTTTTAATTAAGATACATTTCTATGAAAGTATTTTTTCAAATATGCATTAAAATGTAATTATTATCAGATAGCTCGTGTTCGTCCCATCTCCAGGACATAGGCACAGACAACTGTAGTCAAAAGGGAAGGTTTCATATACTGGTGCTCCACAAGAAAGAACATCCGTATAGCTATTGTAAATTCTATCAGCCGTCTCATGAATACTTCATATTCTGGAATCAGGATGATAGGAGAAAAAAAAACACCTGAAACTGATAGAGTGAGAATAGAAGTATGGACTCACAAAAAGAACAGGGCTTAGATTTCCCAAACAATATTTATATTTTATATTTTTATACTGTAGGAAAGATACTGTAGACTGTACTTTCTTTCCAAGGACATAGCAGATCACAGAACACATGTTTGAATCATTTTGTGCTTTCCCTTTTACCAAGTAAAACATGTTCCTCTGTTTACCATCACAAAAATCAAAATTTTAAGCCAATATTTTTCTCAAAACATTGTCCCAAATTAAGAATTTATTATGGATTTTTTTCTTAGAATCCACACAGGTTTTAGCATGTTCTATTGATCTCAGCTGGCTTAATTTTGCCCATCTCAGGGCAATACTATGAATTGCCATTAAAGTCTTCTCCAAACATGAGACAAAAATAAAATTAATGTATGAATATGTTTATAATCCATGCACAATTTTGTATTTGCTTGTCAAACTGTTGAAAATGGGTGAATATCGAGGAAAGTTACATGTAATTATTAAAAGAAAAAAAATGTACTGAACTGTGTTCAAAATTCTACGTGGTCATCCTTATTAATAAAAAATATCTTCATAGTTAATGATTTGATTCAGGTTCATTGCTTGATGGATTCTATATATTCACTCTAGAAACTAATAATAACCCAAAAATTACTCCAGCTTTCCGCAACCTAGCATTTTATGAATGTATTGGGACAGCACGTGGTAATCCATGGATAGTATCAGTTATAATACCAGCATGTTAGGACAGCACCAAATTGGTGAACCTCAACTAGACTCTCTTAATATAATTTTGTAAAATTTATAACTAAATGGTTCAGAAATTGTGAAATCCTAGGCTCAAAACTTGCTTAGTGACTGAGTGAGGTCAAGATATAAAATGGAATTTGGATACAGACGTTAGTTTTGCTAAATATTTCCATCTTTTACATTTTTAAATGGCATAAAAAATTAACATTTTCTTTAAAACTACTTTGAAATGCATTGCTATAATTTAAAATAGCCCAAAATACAGAAAATTATAGGAAGAAAAGGGTTGAAAGTAATAGAAGATGTAGAATCAGCCCTATGAACTTGCTTCAAAGCAGAGTCAGGCCTTTAAATATACTTTCAATATAATTAATTCTTTTTAAAAAATAGTTCCTGATATTTTAGGACCTATGTAGCTGTTGAAGTATCTTAACAATGAAATCCAGTACAAAATCAACTTAATTGAAAAGAAGAGTCCATCAGTCAAATATTTATTACAGTCAAAGAACAGTACAATTAATACTCAGAGTATCTAGTCAGAAAATCTTGAATAAAACAACAGATAACAAATAACAAATAACAAATAAAATCTATGTTGAAGTCATAATTGGCAGCCTATCAGTTGAATGTAAAAGCACAGGCTAAGCCAGTGATGACTAACCTTTTCCACATTGCATGCAAAAATTGTGCGTGCACGCGCGATTCCCCTCGCCCCCTGTGCATGTTTGCGTGACCCCCCCCCCGCATGCCACATGCCTCTGTGCATGTGCATGCATCTCCCACACGCGTCTCCCCCCACACATGCACGGCAGATACCCGACATTCAGCTGGCTGGCAGGGGGCTCTTCCGGGAGACCTTTCACATGCCGGCAGAAGTTGCTCTACATGCTACTTCCGGCATGCATGTCATAGGTTTGCCATCATGGGCCTAAGCTATAATGTAATATTAGTCCTTAAATTGTGAAGGCCTATAATTAGTTACTAAAATATAATAGTGTGATAATATCAAAAGATTTACTGCATTATTTTTTTAAATGGTTGTAATACTGTAGATTGCTCATTGGGTTCCAGCGAATCTTTAATGCTACTGCACAGAATCTAGTTATTTGTGCTGTAACTACAATCTGTTCATTTTTAAGCAACCATTGAAGATAAGCAGTGTCACAATGACCAAGATATCTATTACTGGGAAAATAAATTTTGCTCAAATGACACTATAAAAAAAAGAGCAACGGAGAAGCATTATTGTGTCAGTCAGAACTTTTCACCTCTCTGGAATCACGGGGATTTGAAAAGAAGAGAAAAATCCATGAAAAAGAGTCAATAAAATTAGGAGGAAAAAACAGATAAAATATATACAGGTGATGGAATGAACATCTGCCTAAACTAAAGGCTTCGATTATCACACAAGACATCACCAAAGAGTGGGTGTTAATCTGAATCTTTGAGATTTTCACCATTGGATGTAGCTGTTGAGAAGGCCATTTCCCTCCACCAATCATTTCCTTGCAGAAGTTGGGGGTTCCCTATTGAATCTTGAAGAAAGTTGGCAAGGGATGATAATGAATGACAAAATAATACTGGCACAAGAAAAATGCCTCAACAAGATATCCTAAGCAAGCGATTACTCTTCCCTTTAGCCACCTCCTTGCCTTTTTTCCCTTGAGCAATATCCATGCAGAACTTGGAGACATAAATCAGCTGAATCTGCAGTTCATCATCTTGCTCCTTCTGCAAGATCACATTCTTGGCATACACAAATAAACTGGCATTCACAAGAAGGAAGAAGGTAACTGCAGCAGTAGCTTATCAGAATTAGTTGTGATGATAACTTCAGCAGTTATGCTAAATCCCACTTAAGGTAATATATGTTTTGGAGGAAATGTTTGCATGTTTACATGGCAGATATGCCAGTTTGTCTAGTAGTAGATGTTCCTGGTTGTAGTATCATTTCACATGTGGTTAAGAGTCCATGGATAGTGTAGCTTTTTTTTGCGGTAAAATATCAGATGGAACATTAGCCTGTTTTTGTCCATTGTTGCTTCAATAAAAATATTTTGGGAACCACAGACTGAAAAGTACAGCTGTAGAAAAAAACCAGCACTGTTGGATCAAATCTCTTTATGTAACTGAGCTAGAATTGACCAATGCATGCCAGATTCTAATACAGCAGAACATGAGAAGAATGTGAACTTTTCTAAAGAACAACCAAATATTCCAAAAGACTCATGAGAAGAATGTAATAGAAAAAAAGGATGGAATGACCTTACTTGCACCAAAAAAAATAGATGGGAAAATATTGTTCCTGGAGAATGTCTACATAGCTCATTACAATAATGGAGACTCTGTACTGTAAATGATTCTAAATATGCTGAAAAAGTAAGACATGATCAAGATTGTCAAGATCCTGTCTAAGAGGATTTGGATACTCATAAAGCAATTGTTTCCAATCTGGCATCCTTTAGTTGTGTCAAAATGGCAATTTCCAGAATTGCGTTGTGCTCTAACCTTTGGAATTGTAGTTGCAAGTCTTCTGGAAGAAGGTTAATTTAAAGATACCATAGAACAGGGGTGTCAAACTCATGGCTCGCGGGCTGGATGCGTCATGCGCTGGCCATCCCCATCCACAGTTTAGTGAAGGGGGAAAACTCGTGATACGTCATGTGACAACAACATGATGACACCCCCCGCCCCCAGAATAAGAATTCCAGCCACTCACTCTATACCATTAATACTCTACAAATCTATAAAAACCACTAAAATGACTTGAGATTCTTTTTGCCCATCACACTATCCAAGGTGGTGATAGCTTTACTGTTTGGTAGTTTAGTTCCCAGTAGCTTCTGCCAGCATGGCCAATTACTCTCCAAAAATAGCTGGAAGGCACTATTAATATTTACAATGAATGAAAACGTTTTATAGGGCTTGTTGCAACAAATGAAAAAGCCATCCCTCTGGAAGCAATATACATCATTTGTCAAGCCCAACATTGTTTATTAATCACTTGGTTGTTGTTTTTTAAAAAGCAAGAATTATTGTACACTTTAGCAATAGAAAAAAGTGGGCAAGCTATTTTCAAGGGAGACAAGTCCAAAAATGTACTGCTTCCACTTGCCAAATCACTGTAAACTCCTTCCTGACACTCTTACATCTTTATCTAGGAAATGATTACCTAATGTAAAACTATGAAACA